AACACATTGTAAACTTGTAATTTCAATTTAAAGTTGAGCATAAAAATGTCCATCTAAAAATTAAAACCCTAACTCCATTTGAAAGAAAAATAAGAATGATTAAAGTCGATTCTTCATTTATTTTCTCACCAACAAGCCAAACTTCAAACCCTAAAAAAAACTCCAAACCCTAAACCAGTTGTTGGTTCAAGGTCGTCACTAGATTTGCCACCTGGCTTTAGCGTCGCTGTCGCTGATGGTTGGCCTTGGTCAATTTAGTTTGGATAGAGTACCCCCGTCTCTGAAAATAGTCGTTGTTGACCAATGACCACCCAATGGCCCAAGATTGTTTTCTCAATGTTTTTGACGTGAAAGTATGATCTCTCTTCTTCTTTCTCAATTAGTCATCAATCTTCAATCTTTGATCTTCTTATAGTGTTGCAGGTTGAACTGAATATCCAATAACAGCCAAAATTTATGGTGCACAAATTATACCGTGAGGCAAAAATGTGAACCAGTGATAAAATGATAAGTCACTGACTCACAGCAAATATCCTTAATATTGTTTAAGTCTACGATCTTGATGATAATGTTAATATATCTTATAAAACGTAAACAAATAAAGAATAAATAGACCATGCCATATGGCCATATCTTTAACACATTAATATGATTGAGTCAAATATGAATAATTTTGCGTTTTAGTAGAACAGTTAAACTTTTGTTACATGAACAAAATAGTTTATATACATAACCAATAATATGATCAAATACAACCGGATCCAAATACGGGTCTTTAAATATCCATCGGATCTGAATCAAAATCACATGTTGTTTTTCCTTGATTGTGCGCGATTTAGAAACTCGTAGCTGGAGAGCAGTTTGGACGTCGGTTTGCTCTATTGGCCAATTGAATTGCAAGAAAGGGATGCTCAGAGGACCCAAGTGGCTTATTTGGCGTGAGCGATCCGATGCTTAAGTTAGGATTCTATAGTGCGAATTGAAAGTTTGTAGACTAGTAAGCTAGTGAACAAATAGTTGCGCATACCTTATGTCGTTGAGGTAGATACCTTTATATAGGCGAGCTATCGTGGATTTCACGAAACACCTCCGAGATCTTCAATCGTGCTGTTAGGAATCTATTATGCATTCGAAGGAAAACTTCGTACTAGCCGATAAGGCTTATTGAATCCATCAAATCTAGGGGAGATAAGAATAAGACTCACAGTCGTGCAATATGATTCCAAAGAGCTCATAATACAAATGGCCTTTTTCTAGAAAATGGCTACGTGTCACCTCGGCAAATAAAACCATCATGAGCTAGTTGGACCTCAGTCCTAAGATGCCCGAAGTATCCGAAGTAATCTAGCCTACTGAGATGGCAGAAAGTGCCGAATCAAGGTCCCATCATCAGGTCACTATTACGTATCCGTACATTAGTACATGGAACCAAATTATCCTTCATCATTCTCCATATAAAAAGATTACGGTAAACCCACCTGACATCTGCTCTCAAATGCCAATATAAAAAGTTATGATGAGAATAGTGATGATGATTCGTGGCGAGAGCATAGCATTAAGAAAAGATAAAAGGAAAGATTTCTGATACACCACGTCAGCATTTTGTTGATTGATTATTGATTCGTTTATCTATTCACTCTTTCTACACTAAAGTGAGGCCCTGAGGATACACCACACTCAACATATATACGACCAACAGATTCTATTCTATTCTTCGACAACCACGCCTCCCATGACCCATCCTTTAAAACAGAGGGGATCGGAGGATACCGGGCCAATCATGATACGCCACCTCAGCCTAACAATCAGCTGACGTGGTGTTTCAAGATTGATATTTATTTCCTAAAAAATGGGCTTGGACATGACTTTGTCGCTTTAACAATCAGTACACTGTCCCTCTCTATAAACCGCATCTATGGTCGAGATTCATCCCACATGCCGCATTTATGGTCGAGATTCATCTCACACTAAGAATTCTGGGGTGAGCTGAATAGTTTTTCTCCCTTTTTTTTCAACCATCCAAATGATTGATGGGTTTTGTGCGGGTTGGGCCTTGCCATAGCCCGATCCAACCTGATCAAACCCGCCATAGACCCAGATTGACATTTTATAACCGTCAACGGGATAAGACACTGATGAGGCTATTTCCATGGATTCAGCCGCAGATGTCGAGCATGAGTTGATTGAAGCTTGAAACAGCTTTCATATCGAGGAACAGAAATCCACATTGACGAACACGGCTGTGGGCCCAGTAATTGGGCTGGTATTAGCCCAGATGCAGAGAGGCAGAGCCCCTTAGTCCAGCACATTACACACGAGACACAACAAAATTGAGCAAATCTGCTTTGCCCTTATTAAGCCCGCCCATTGGGGGGCACATGACAAATCCTGCATCAGAACGAGGGGGCACAAAATGAAACAATTAGAATATAGGAGGAGAATGCATCCAATAAAATTTTGGGCCTGAAAAAACAAAACAATTAGCCATTTGTTCCCCACATTCTCCCCCATAATAAAGTAGTCGTGCCGCGGTCACCACCAGGTCCAGGACTAATCATTTTGCCTGTACTGATTGACCTAGACCCCAGGCCCAGGCCCAGACCCACGCCCCATAACCAGACTTTTGTTTTTGTACTCGCTTTGGAGCCTGTCTCCTCTTCTCTTAGTTACTAAAATGCCCTTCTTCTATCTGTTTGTGCTGGTAGGTAACAAGTCTGTAGGAGTGTAAATTAGATACCTGGTTCTGATTTGAAGATTTTACACTACATCAGGCCTTCATTTCCGAGTTGGGCTGGGCCTGCCCATTTAGATTTTAACAAAATTTTAATCCCAGAACATCGAGATCTGTTCCCAACAAAACCCATTTCAACATGTTTTTGACATCGTTACTGGGACATACCATACGTAAGATGTGTGATGTTAGATTACGTTGGAAGCGTGTTGGGAAACGGTCCAAGTTGCATCCCCGGTAACAAATATAGGGCTGGCTACATAATCAAATTCAAATCTGAATCCTGTTTGATGAGAAATCAATAATGAGGGATATGTGAAACATAAATTTGACCAAAACGTCAATAAATTTATATGTCCTAAATCCAAAATAATTCTAAAGATTTTTGATGATAGAGTAACATTTTATTTTATATATATGGATCATGTAATTCAGATCCGATTATTGAAATAGATTTTCAATCGGGATAGAGTATACAGTCGATCCATTTTCCAAACCTACAAATTCACGTCCAAACTCCAGTCATATCATGATTCCTCTTCTGCGGAACTTTATCGAAGTTCAAATCCTCAAGGTCAAGACATTGACAACCTCCAAATCCACCCTTCAAACCTCTGACCGAGCCATCCGAATTCAGCACGTAACCATGGTCGATTGGATTGCCGATTGGAGTTGGAATTCTAGGGTTTGGGCCTTGGAGTCACGTTTTAACTGTGTGAATTGGTGTGGTGGAGCGTTCGTACGAACGCAATATGAATAGCTGCGGGAATTTAGACTACTAATGGCTATAGCCCCAACCGTCTGCAGTTAAAAGAGTCAGTTGACCCCCTCATGTGAAAGGGCCGTTTCGTACGCCAACGAAAACAAGGATCAGGAGGGTAATTTCGTCATTCAGTTATTCGGTTAACTACGGTACGGCTATAGCCTATACTTTAGTATTATACAACTTGTATATATGCATAAAATACGTCACATACTCGTCGGCCTTTAAGGTTGCCATCGGGTCGGTTTCGTCGTGTGTTATTCAACCCGACCCTCATCCAAATGCCCACCCACAATTTATATATTTACAAATATTGTGATGCAGCTGCAATGGCAATTCTCCCGAGTTCATATCTGCGCCCCACAATACCACATAGCACATCCCCACCCGGGAAAATTTCTTGATGATGTATCATCATCAATGGCACTTGTTATTGAAAGGTGTTTCCAATTAGACCTGTTTATGGGCCGGGTTGGGTTTGGGCTGGGCTTTTACTCTTCATAAACATGATTTTGTTAGGTCCGAGTCTGAGCCCAGTCGACCAATAAGCCTACAATATGGGCCCGAGCCCGGCCCTAATAAAATGTCCAAAGCCCAAAACCCGACTTAACAGAAGAAAGAATTCACCGTCAGTGACTATGTTTGTCGGTGTTGAGTTCGCATCTGTGAGAAAGAGAGAGAGAAAGAGAGGATTCATGGCAGTCGTCGGTGCCGAGTTCATAATGAGATGCGATTTTGACAATGAAAAGTGGAGTCAGTTCACATCTGAGAGAGGGAGAGAGAGAGAGAGAGAAGAGTCACCGCCGGTTTGTCGGAGTTGTTGCACCGGTGAATGTTCGCCAGTTCTACGATTGCTTGATAATGTGAAAAGGATGTGAAGAGAAGAGAGGTTCGGCACTGGGTAGTTCAGCTAACTAGAAAAGTGGAAAGAGATGAATGAGAAGGGTTACTTAGGATATTTGGGTTTTTGGGTTTAGTCTATAGGTCGAGCTAGGCTATTTTGGCAAAGCCCGATTCCGGCTCGAATTTATTACGGGCCAAACTTTTTGGCCCGAAGTCAAACTTACAGGCTCATTTGCGTGTTCAAGCCCGTTCAGGGGGCCGGGCCAACCACCCAGCCCATGAACAGGTCCATTCCCAATAGACTGTGCTGTGAGGCATTGTGGGCGCAGATGTGAACTCAAATCTCCCCACCCCCCAAATTGGCTGATCCGGGTCAGGTCAGTTCGGATTAACCCGACCCACTGACATCCGGCTATCCAGCTATTTCCTACACGAGTCCGTGTGCTAGTGCTACCGTACGAGTTTCCGTGTAGAGGAGAGAGAGGGAGAGGTGGGGTCCGTACCGCATTTCTGATCGTGTCGTTTCTTTTTCTATTCTTCTTTTTTAAATTCGTTTCGTCCCCGTCCGTGTTTCTGACTTTGGGAGGGTGGGCCCTCCACTGCCTACGTCTTCCAGACAAAACGGGGGGAGGGTCCCATGGAATCTATCATCGTATACGTTTTCCGAGATGACATTTGCCTCTTAGGAGCCATGGGGGAGCAATTGTTGCAGAGGCCCAAGGATTTATTGACGTTTACAGAGAGACCGAACTGAGAGGAGATGAAGAGCAGACGAATATCCCAACATGGAGATCCGATTCAGGTTCCTTTCTTTGGTTTTTCTTTTCCTGCTTCAATAAGAGTTCTCTTCTTCTTCTTCTTGTGTTTTTTTTTTGGTTTTTTCCTCCAAGTGGAGAGGTTTCTATGTTTTTTTTAATGTATTTGTGATTGCTCTGATTCAATGATTGGTGATTATTTTCTTCGTTTAATGGTGTTGTAATCATGGGTAGATTTTTTTTTTTTTTAATTTCTCCTTGTTCAATTGGGTAATTTTTTTCCTGGGTATTTTAATTATTTTTAATTTGTTTGTTTATATGGGTTTTTTCCTTCCAGGTGTTGACAAAGGAGTATTTGACTTTGAAGCTGAAAGGTTTTCTTTTAGGGTTTCTGACAATGCTGGATATGGGGATTTAGGATTTGCGAAGTCTCTGTGTTTCTTTCTTTCCTTTTGTGGGTTTCAATAGATTCTGCTGATATTACAGATGAAAACAAGGTGTCAGAGGAATGTGTTTCGATGGGCTTCGGTGGGTTGAAGGAATTTTGTGTTTAGATGAGAATGAAGTTGGGTTTTTCTGTTTTTGTTGATTGTTTTTGATGGGTTTGGAGGAATTTGGTATTTGGAGTTGGATTGTGCTTGCAGAATCTTTTGGAGGTCTCTGTTTTGATCTGGATGCATCTTCTTCTTCTTCTCTATTGAAGAAGAACAAGGAGGAGTATCAAGGAGTTGGTAGGAGCACCAAAGATGGACGAAGAGCCTACCTCTTGGGTGAGGAGGGCGAAATTCTCTCACACAGTTTATCACCGGTTGGATTCTCTGAAAGTGCCGTCGGTTCCACTCTCCATTCCATCAAATCGTGAATCCGGAGGATTGAAGTCAAGGCCACCATCCGTTGCTGTTAATAACAGACCGGCATCTCTGGAGGGGGAAATTCCAAAAAGTCCTAAAACCATCAAACAGAGGTCTGCATCGCCTCTTCCTGAAACAGTCCTATCGGATGAGTTTAAGGAAGCTCGGTCTGATCGGAAGAGATTCTCTACTCCTAACCCTCGAAGAAGAGAACCCGAGAAGGGAATTTCTTATCAAGTGTTTGACAAATATTCCCAAGATACTCGGGCATCTGATTCTTTAAAATCCTCGATTCTTGCCCCTCCGAAGCACCTTTCTTCTAAGAAAAATTCTGAGAAATATAGCCGAAAAGAATCATCGTGGACAAAGTACTTTGAACATGGAGGGGTAAAGGTCACAGCCGTGGAAACAACAGATGAATGGACAGTTGATCTATCCAAGTTGTTCCTTGGGGTTAAATTCGCCAGTGGGGCGCACAGTAGGCTTTACCATGGAATATACAAGGATCAGCCTGTTGCAGTGAAAATTATTAGACTACCAGATGACGAAAATGGATTTATGGCAGCTCGACTAGAGAAAGAATTCAGTAGAGAAGTTACTATCCTGTCTCATCTCCACCATCAAAATGTAATAAAGGTATCTTTTCTTTATAAAATTTCCCCCCTTAATTATATATGCTTGTGTTTGATCATTTTTTCTCTTCTGTAATTAGTTCCATGGATTTCTGTAAACCTATAATCAACTACATTTGGTATTCACTTGTTATTTTGTTTTCTGTACTTTTCATAGCCATGCTCCAATTATCTTTGATTTTTTGTTGATCCCAACAAATGGAACTACTAGTTCTGTTGCTTTTATTTTCCCTGCAATCCTGCTTCCTAAAGGCCATTGATACAGAATACTTTTATCTTGAATAGTTAAATGAGGGTTTTAAATTTATACTTGGTTATCTTTTGATGAGTATACCATTAATTAGTTCACTTACTGTCTTTAGATGAAGGGATTTTAGCAATCTTCTTTTGAAAATTATACTTTGTTCCTTGATTGATTCACCTTATTGATTGTTGGTTTCCTTTCATTTCCCCTGGAATTGTTGACTTTTTATGGATGCTTACCAGTGGAAAAGAAGAATGATTGTTTATAATAACAAGTTGGTCCATTCTTCTTGCCCCATCTCATCATGGTCTTTTAATCTTAAATGCAGCTGGTTGCTGCATGTAGAAAGCCACCTGTCTTCTGTATCATTACGGAGTATCTCTCGGGGGGTTCATTGAGGGCTTTCTTACGCAAGCTCGATCATAAATCTCTTCCCTTAGAGAAGCTGGTTACAACTGCTCTGGAAATTGCTCAGGGGATGGAGTACGTTCATTCACAAGGTGTTATTCATCGTGACCTTAAACCTGAGAACATCCTCTTTGATGAAGACTTCCACCTCAAAATTGCTGATTTTGGAATAGCATGTGAGGAGGCTTATTGTGATTCTGTAGCTGAGGACCCAGGGACATATCGTTGGATGGCACCAGAGGTTATCAAACACAAACCCCATGGACGGAAGGTTGATGTCTACAGCTTTGGACTAATTTTATGGGAAATGGTAGCTGGAACAATCCCTTACGAGGATATGAATCCCATCCAGGCTGCTTTTGCTGTAGTAAACAAGGTACCTTTTTGAGTTCTTGGTCTTTGCTTTTAAGATAGTATAGATTCCAATAAGAAATTAGGGCTTCTTCCATCATTGGCATTTTGCATTCACTGGTTACCTGTTTCTGCTTTAAGTGCCCATTCTGCTCAGTAAGGGCAGTTGGTAGTACTGGAAAATGTGTACACATCTACAGAAAGTTAAAGAAATTTGCCCTCTGGCTTGTTGCAACTTTTGGATGTGGATGCCTATTCTATATTCTACAACTCCAAACATGCAGTTGCAATAATTTCAAAAACTTTAGGACAGTTTTTCCTCAATACTTTTTTTTTTTTTTTTAATTTCTCTATTCTTTACTGACACCAGCAAGCTCTGGTGGTAAATCTCTTTTTCTAATACATGCAGTTTATTTTGTAACTTGTTAGCCTCCAAAGGTCTCAAACCACCCCCAAAAGAAAAGGAATAATAAAAATAAAACCCCCAAACTAAACTAAAGGGAGTCATTTCAAAAATACCAGTAATAAGTGGGCTCATTGAAGAGAGATTTTTTTGTTTTGGTAGGTGGTTGGGCTGACAACCTGGTAAGCTTTGCTAACTGAACAAATTGTGATTTGCAGAATCTAAGACCTGTTATTCCATGTGACTGCCCACCTGCACTGCGAACTTTGATTGAGCAATGCTGGGCCTTGCAACCAGATAAGAGACCCGAATTTTGGCAGATTGTGAAGGTATTAGAGCAATTCGAGTCTTCACTTGCCCGTGATGGCACATTGAACCTGGTCCAAAACTCGACATGCCAAGATCACAAGAAGCGGTTGTTTCATTGGATTCAAAGGCTTAGTAATGTGAGTATAGATGGTTCAGTCATGTCTAAACCCAAATTCTAATTTTCCCATCAAATCCTGGTTTTTTATAGTTTTACCAGGTTATTTATGTAATTAATGGCTTTGCTTTGAAAGCATCTGTGCCTCTGTGGGTTTCTCTGGCACAAGGATGTTCATACTAATTGATACACAACATGCATTCAGGATGCCTTTCATCTCTTGTGCCATGCACACATGCTTATCAACCTGGGCTTGATCAATTCTTTCTTGACTGTATATAGAAAAAATCAAATGGAATTTGTCTAAACTGAACAGTCCAGAAGAAACAAATAGGTTTTGAAAAAAAATAAAAGCATCAAATAAAAAGAATCATATTAAAAGGAAATGATGATAGAGAAGGAAAAACAAATTAGTTAGGGCTGTTCAGATGATGATTTAGGACCAGGGCGTTTGATTGATTTAGACAACAAAGATGGGTTGCTGTAGAGGATGTATTAGGACAATCTATAGTTGGGGCCGTGTTGTCCCTGGATAATGACTTTGAAATAGCGAGTGTACAAAATTGATATAACATGGTGCTATTTTCTTTCTTTTCGTTTTCTCTTCTTCTCCAGTCATTTCTGGGTTAACATCCGGGAGAGAGTGCTGGAAAGGGTGACTTGGGTTGGATGTTGCAGGTATAGCACGCTACACCGTTGAATAACATAAAATATTCAGTCCTTCCTCTACCTCCTTTAAGCCCTCCTCCATTTAAAAAAAAAATCTTGGTGGGATATCGTAACAGTCAATCAAAACACTCCTCTGGATGGTTTGCTTCTTTCCTTTTTTTCTTTCCTCCCAATCCAAGGATCCAATTGGTTGGGAACCAAGAATTTTATGGGAATTTATACAATTGCTTCCTGCATATTGTCAATCAAAGATTTTGGAAATCCATGTTGATATGCAATTCATTCAGGCTGGGTTCAATGTCATTGAACCTTAGTCAAGGTGTATAACGGAGCTATTGAGTCTATTGACCAGAAATATTTGATAATAGTGAAATGTTGATTACTACCATACGGACAACCAGAATGCATTTAAGAGAATTGGTTGGAGACTTGGCCCAGTCCTGGTCTGCACTGATACGTGTCCTCAGGAATCAGGACAGCAAACCTAAGGGTGCCCGACCATGGCCATGAGTCTGAATTGAGGCATGACAAGCCGGCACCATAAGCCAGGAGCGGTCTATGCTCTCCCCAGCAATCTACATCTCTCATTTAATGAAGGGCCCCTTACTAAATCATTCCTTGCAATGTCAGTGTGTGTTTTCTTTCTCTAATTTTTTTTCTTTTTTTGGTAATCAAAATATCAAGCCAAGGTTTAGATCCTGCCTATCCTAGAGATGATTGTTCAATCTGGCACCCCAACTTGGGTTTCTGTGGTTATGCAATTTGACCTTTCCATCTGGCGAGTTGCAGCCTTTTCAGCCCTTGGTTTCTTCTTGATCAGCCTTGTTTAGCTGAAAAGAAAATTTTGTGGTCAATTATTTATTCGTGGAGAGGATGATGATGTTGTGGATGAATACACTTGGTTGATCTACAAGAACCCCAATTAGTTGATTATGTGGATTTCTTCTTCTTGTTCCTTTGTCTTGTTTTTCTAGGCTCTGGTTGTCGTTTCTTAGAGGGCAAGATCCCTCAGGAAAATGAAATGTTCATCTTTTAGTTGGCCACTACATCATGAGGACATTAAACCTAAAACCATTTGTCCTTGAAGGGACCAGTTATGCTAGTGGTATTTTTGTTTTATGAAGATGAAGAGGCATTCATGGACCACTTCAATCGAAGTATTTGTTTTGGACAGTGACCATCAAAGTACAGATTCAAAGTATATTCAACAATTGGGAGGAAGAAATATGTTTAAAAATGGCTTGAGTAGTTGACTCTCAGCTAGAAGAATTCTGATAGAAATAGGATCCTCCTTAAACAATTATAGAGAAGAGCCCGGATCTACTGCATGCAACAACTCTGTGCACATGGCATCCAATCACACATCGAGAATATCTCTCATACATATATATATATATATATATATATATATATATATATATATTAAATTCATAGTGAGATGTTCCCAAAGTGCAATTGAATGCTCGTGCTCAGATCCTGTTGCTACAATGAAAAAAGCTACTTTGGACTCAAATTTGAGGTTAAATGGTTGAAGGGGAAAACCAGTATTTCATTTAAAAGCTATTTTTATTTGTCCTAGTAGTAGTAAGTTGGCTTGATCTATAGCAGATATGATGATTTCTCTTCTTTGTAAATCCTCATGAATGGCTCAGATGTTGGAGCTAGTAAGAATTATTACCGAACACTATTATCCTGTCTATGCATTGTTCGGTCAAGTTCTTTCTAGACATTTTAGCATTAAAAACCTTTTGGAGATAGAAGCCCTATCTTTTCTAATCGTATTTTCATCAATTTTCATTTATTTTTTAACCAAGTTCCTGTCTAAAGTGTTTTTTTCAGTCTATTCCATATTGGAAAGGATACAAATGCGGGAAAATCTATGGTATAAACTGGTTAGAAATTTTTTAGATATTATATCTTTTTTATATCATGGTCCAATCCTGTAAATATGGGTGGCAATTTTTCACCCAACCTGTCCATTTACTTGGCAGGTTGTGTTATCAACTCATCACCCAATTCGCCCATTTAAATGGATTGGGTTGAGTTGTGGATAATCATTGGGTTAACCATTACAGACATAAGTATTAATTCCTTAGCCTTTTTTTAATTTTCTTTATTTGAATTAAATAATTTATAATTAATGCATTAATTTTCTATTAATTATTGACTAAATTTAGTTTTGTCTTGAATCAACACACTTCACCCAACATAAATCCAAATCAATTTGACCCGAGTCCTAACCAGTTCAACGTAGTCTGATCCGATCCAGCATATATCATTCTAGGTCGACCCGAATCCGAAATAGACCTGGGCAGGATGGTTCAGTACTGCTTGTTCTGCCCGGTTTGGGTTGTTTGGTCCAACCAGTATTCACATAGACCAACCTGATCCACTACAATCCGATTCGGGTAGACCCGAATCCAAAATGGTTTCGGGCGGGATGGTTCGATGTTTGCGTGCTTTGCCCGATCTGGACCGTCTGGCCGACCAATATCCACACAACCCGACCCGAATCCAAACCGACCCGATTTACTTACGTCGACCTACTTCAGGTCAGTCAGTTCAATCCCAAACCCATGCACAAACCTGATATGGTACGGTTCAAATCAATCCACCATTGACTGAACCGGTCCACTCTGATCTGACCAGACTGATCCGGATCTAAACGGTTCAACCACTCTTGATATGATTAACTTGAAGATAATCCAATTAGATAGTTCAAGTTGGTCTGACCAGTTTGAACCTAAGTGGTTCAGTCAAACCCAAAATCCGAACATAGTCAAATGGCTTCGCCACTTGTGTAAAAATAACATGCATGTAATGTAATTTGAATCTTCACCACTTGTGTAAATAGTAACTACAATTACCACCAAATTATGACCAACTTATTTGTTAAAAGAGATTTAGTTTGTTCTTTAAATCCATAAATATAAGATTAATGGGTTTGGACGGGTTGGATTAGGTTAAAGCGGGTTTGGGTTGAACCCAACCCATTTAATTTTATATAACTGGATCATTAATGGGTTAGTAGGTTAGGTGGATTGGGTTGAAGCTCAACCCAAACCAAACCCAACCCAACCTGCCCAATTGCCACTGCTACCTACAAATGCAGATATGAACACTGCAAATATAGGTTTAGAAATACAAAATACAAGGATATACACTGCACATTTGTATTTGCACTCTTTCCAAAGCTTTCTCTTTGTAGGACAAGGCATTAAAAATAAACTTAGAAAAATCTATAAATCTGAAGAGAATATCAATAGTTTTACATTCATCAAAATTTTGAAGAATTTGGTATAGAAATGGCCAAAATTAGTAAAAAAATAAAAAGATAAATATAAATTTTGCCTTTCACGATTGGAGAAATGGTGAGAAGTCATAAAATACGTATCTAGGAGAGTGGTAGCTGGGGTAGGAAGAGCAGCAGTTGGATTAAGCATCTACAACATCAATCACTTCTTAAGTCCGTTAAGTGATTACATCTAAGGAAGGTGACGGGATTTCCTTGAAAGCAAAGACTCTACACATACTCTGCAAGCTAGATGCTATGAGGACAGACAAGAGATCCCGTGTCCTAAATCACTAATGAAAGAGAGAGCTTTTTATTACCTGCAACCCCTCTGTAGCAAAGATAGAAAACAACCTTCTCCTCCCTTGAATTCTGATGAAGAACTCTATTATTAATGCAGAAGAAATTTTCCATGGGGTGTTGGTCTTATTTACCCTTTCATAAAACACACCTCCACCATCTGCATTTCAGAAAATAAAGTCTGCATTTGACATGCTTTCAAAGAATAATTCCATTGAATTTTGTGATTCTAATAAAAAATATTTAAGTCCAAGTTTTATGAAATTGTGGGAAAACATTCTTTTTATGGGTTCAAATTCATTCAAAGAACCGATTCTTTAAAGCCAAATATTATTTTTGCTTCAACCAGTGTATAGCCAAAATGATACAAGATCTCTGTTCCTAACTCTCGAGGAAAAATTACTAATCGTTTAAAAATAAGGATGAAAAATCAAGGAGGTTGAGGTGCTGTGGGAAGGATAACTGAAAAATATAATTAAAAATTAGGGTCATTTACTACAACACCCCTTATAGTTTCATAGATTTACTTTAAACTGTCTCTATAATTTGTATTTTACTAAAACACCTCTTATAGTTTACAATCCATTTACTTAGGTGGCGTTTGACAAATTTGAAATCTGAAAAAAGATATCAAAAGTGTCTGAAATCATAAAAGAGACATAAATACTTTTCGACTTTTTAGAGGCTTTGAATAGAATAAGTTGTTTGTTTTGGATCAAACAACTTATTTTGAGTTCCCTAATTTTATTATTTTACCCCTAAAATACACTTTTTGGTAATTTTGAGTTCAATTTGTACTATTTCATAAAAAATAATTTATTAAATTCAAAATAATATTGAAAAATATGAATAAATTATAAAAAATAAAAAATGATAATTTATTAAAATAAAAATGAAATTGAAAATACATAAAAAATTATAAATTAAAAATAAATTATTAAAAGTTAAAATAATAATGAAAATAGTAATAAAGTCCATGAAGTAATAAAAAATATTTAAT